CGACTATCCTTGCTATCCGAAAACCAAACTGTATGTAATGCATGGTAGATTCATTTTTATCCAGTCTGATGTGAATTTTATGTAAATGGGTTAAACAAGAGTGAAGACAGAGAGAAGTACAAGATGCCGAGAACTAGGATGAAAACACTGTGTGACCACAAAAGGAGAGAGACAGAGCCCTCAGTACAGGGAGACTTGTACACCTCAGACGGCTGCCACAGTAACATCAAAGGGAACTCACTGATACTGTTGTCCGGCAGGAAGTGGGCCATTGCAGAAGTCAGTGCCGGTATCAGAACAAGAGTTATCCTCCCCAACTGTGAATACGTATTGCCCCCCTGGCGTTCCTGAAAAAAAACAACAACAACACAACAACCAATATGTAGTGGGAAAAAAGTTTAGTTTTAGGAAGTGCTTTATGGCATTTGCGACACAATAAGGTCGTATAAGTGCCGAAGATTAGAGGTGTTACAAGAGAGTAACAAACACAAAAAAGAAGGAGACATAAGGACGACAGATGTTTGATAGGAAAGAAAAGATAAACCACACTAGAGCACCCGCCAACCAACCACAGAAAAAAGGGGGATTATGATAAGGCAGAAAGTTGCTGCTGGTATGACATGAAATACAAAGGTACTAGGTTCCTGTTTGCGGATTTTTCTTTTGTTTTGATTTGTTTTGTTCTTTTTTGCACCTAGAACGAGAAACATGGGGAGGGCTGTGACGACTTGCCGAAAAATGATTCATTTCTCAAACCGATTCATGTACTCTCTTAGCTTTCATTTAAACATATGCAATTTCATTTCAATATTTAAAATTGGTTAATCTTTTAATCGCAGGCTCAACTTCTTCAGTATAAAGGAAGTTCAACACCAAAAATTTCAATTTTAGAAAAATATGACTTCGCTGTGAAAGGGCCCTTTCATCCGGCGAACCCTCGATAGCTGATCCTTTCATCCTTACAGAGATCTTGTTAGTTGATCCTTTCATCCTTACAGAGATCTTGTTGGTTGATCCTTTCATCCTTACAGAGATCTTGTTAGTTGATCCTTTCACCATTACAGAGATCTTGTTAGTTGATCCTTTCACCCTTACAGAGATCTTGTTAGTTGATCCTTTCACCCTATCAGAGAAATTGTTAGTTGATCCTTTCACCCTTACAGAGATCTTGTTAGTTGATCTTTTCACCCTTACAGAGATCTTGTTAGTTGATTCTTTCACCCTAACAGAGATCTTGTTAGTTGATCCTTTCATCCTTACAGAGT